GTCCGCCCTGCCTCTCTTCTGCCTTTCTCTCCCCTGCTCTCTCGTCCTGCGGGCTCGGCGCCTCAGCTGTGGCACATTCAGTAATTAGTGACTCATTTGCGTCACTAATTACACAGCTGAGGCGCATTCTGTTAATCACCTTCCTCCTTATTTAAACCTCTGGCACACGCTCCATCGTTGCCGGAGCATTACCTGTATACATGTGTTTGTGTTATCTGACAAGATTTTGACGCTGACAGTCACTGTGCTGTTGATTTCTTTTATACATTGTTCACATGTGTTTAGCAAAACGTCCTTTGGCTTTCCATGCTGACAGTTCCTGTGCTGTGGATTTCTCTTTTGTTCGCCAATCCTCCTGGTTAGTTTGTCTACTCACCTGTCCATCCTGGTCTCCTCACCCGTCTCTGCCCTACCCTGTTTTTGTACTGTCCAGGCTGATTATGCTACATACGTTGACTCTGTTACCTTGTTTGTGTTTTTTTCCATTAAACAACCTTTTTTTCACTAGCACCTGGGTCTTGCACATTGAGTCCTACCTCAGTTCTCCCTCACCCTCCTGGTGAGGGGGTCGCAACCATAACAACTAGCTTTAACTCTGTATTTACCAAACAGAGGTAAGAATAATGTATATCCTCTCATGTGTCTCTCGGTAAGAATGCAAATAAGTATATCTGCCAAAAGGCTGAAGTATTCTTTAAAGAGAATAATTGTATACCACAATTCAGATATGGAAATCAAGTTAGCAACTTAAAATTCTGCATGTTGCCAGTGAATAAAGTAATCCTTTTTCATATCTACTCATAATGAGCTATTCCTTTAAAGGGGCACAAGGCAAAAGGGGGGATATATGGAAAGCAAAAAATGCAGACAACAGGGAGGCCAGTCAAGAAGAGTTTGCAGTAAACAAACACTATGGATCAGGATGCCAACACAGGCACTATTTTCAGATAGACAAACAGTGGGATCGCTGTTGTTTGTTTGTTTCAGAATTGCCAGCCTCTCCAAAATCTTCCCAACACTGATGCTGTACAAACTGTGGGAGGATGGCAAGATTGGCTCCCTAGATGACCCTCTGGAGAAATATGTGGAGAACTTCACCATTAAAAATCCTCTGGGGAAGACGCAAGACTCACAGCTAAAATATGTGACAGATGGTTTGATATTTCTGGATAGCGGGGAAGTTCAGATCCGCTCGTCCTCGGTCACCCTGCGCAGGATGGCCAGCCAGCTCTCAGGTACAGTGGATTAACTTTAAATGTAACTTCAGCGAGTCCTTGTTCAGTTGCTGTGATATGGTATAAGGGTTTGAGACTTGATCCGATTCAGTATGTGTATATCTGTATACTATAATTTCTCATTAATATGCTACTGTAGTTAAATGTAACTATGCTGGCCGCAATTTACTGTTACAAGATTTCTGAGAATTAAAATCCTATCATTTTAATAACTGATTTTAGAATTTTAACAATTATTCCATTCATTAGTCACTTGATCATTTTATCAGCACCCACTTTGATAAATGATTTAAATCATTATATAAGCAAAAGTAGCAGTTAAAGCTTCTCAAATGTACAACTGTGCTGCTTTTCCATGTCTTACATCACATTCAGTTAAATATCTCTGGGTTGGGGACTGTTGGTCAGGTAAAAGTCACCTGAAGACATCACCTTTGCCTTGGGAAATTGCAATGGGCGATTTTTTTTTTTTTTTGACATTTTATAAATAAATCAATACACTGAATTACTGTGGGGAAAAACTGGGATAATATCTCCTAGTTTGTGTATATGGTAGATTGCTGGCATGCAATACAGGTGTAGTACAAATGTTAAACATATTAGATGTTCGAATTGATATTATTTTTAAGATTTCCAGAAGTTATATCCACACAGCTCCAGTTATGCATAAACATTTCGATTTGTGACACTTCATTTTGCTTTATGAAGTAAAAGATGAGAGAAACCACTGAGGCAGGAAGAATTATACATCTTTAAAACTCCTTGTGTTTGTCACCAGGTTAGCAGGGCTGAACATAATCATACTGGGAGAATTTTGAACTTGTTGCACATCAATAAAGTGCTGTTACAAATGAAACCAAACAACCCTCTGACTAAAGTAAAAAGCAAAGGTGTTTTGTATTATACGCTTTAACTGTGTGCTGATCCAGGCCTGCCCAGGAGACTTCGGGCCACAAATCTGCTTTGGAAAGGAAAAACGCAGTCTGCTGTCAATCTGCTCCAAGATGATGTCCTCGTCGCAGACCCAGGGACCAAGTAAGATTTATTTTGCAGTTTGATTTTATTTTATTACACATGTTCTTATTGTGCAAACTGCAACAGTAAATTGTATAAAAATGCAGTAATGCCTATTCTTTGTTGTTCATTGGTGCAGATTTAATACAACTAGGTGTATGGTTTGAAAGTATCTGTTCAAACAACTTATAGGCTAATGTTTTAAATGTTAAAGGGAAGACACAGTGTTGCACTGCTAAATGTTGCCCAAACTTTACCTAGGATCAGAACATTTTAGAACTGAATTCTGATCCTCGACGCCCTGATAAAGCCGATATAACTAATGGTCCAAAGTGTCTAACACTGAAGATCCTTACCACCTACAGTACATCAGGTCACACTGATATGAAATACTTCCTGCTTCTGTAAGTTTGGAAATTACTTTAATTTTCCTTGAGGAGGTTGTATAAGTAAGGTGGGCGGTGGAAGCCTGAAGTGCAGCTTTGTCTTCCAAGTGGCTTGAACTCCACCTTGAATTTCGGAGAAGGGAGTATTACAGAAGCACAATCAGTTCGAGTTTTGTTTTATGGGGTGGCTGTGGCTCAGGAGGTAGAGCGGTCATCCCCCAACCTAAAGTCTGATTCCTGTCCATATGTAACTGAAATGAAAAATAGTCCTGTACTTTCTGCATTTACCAACTTTATTTTTAAGACACTGTCCATCTCTTTAACTCGCTTCTTTCCAGATGTCACTACAGCAACCTTGCCTTCTCTCTGCTGGCTCATGTGATGGCTGAGAAAGTGGCTGGCGTTAACTACCAGCGCTGGATCACAGACAACATCCTGGACCAGCTGGGGATGGAGGACACCGGCTTTGACATCACCCCAGGGATCCAGACTCAGATGGCTGTAGGAGTGTACTCCAATGGAAAACCAGCCCCACTCTATGATCTGGGCTGGTACCGGCCTTCGGGTCAGATGTTTTCCACAGCAGCAGACTTAGCCAAGCTTGCCATGATGCTGCTGGGAGCTTACCGCCGCAAGCTGCTGGAGCCAGACTCATTGAAAATTATGCTGACCCCACTCTTCAGATGTGGTAAGGACTACTTTGCCAACCGCACTGGGACACCGTGGGAGGTGAATGACCTGATGGGTTATGAGATATTGCGTAAAGATGGCGATCTGGATGGTTACGCGGCCACCTTCTCCCTGGTGCCCAGACTGAAGCTCGGTCTAGTGGTGCTCATGACTGGCAGCCGATCTCAGAGTAAGGATGTGGTCACCAACGCCTATAACCTCATCATCCCAGCCATAGAAAAAGCCTTCAGGGAGGCAAAGAAGGTCCTCTTTGCTCCCCCAAACCCAGATCCTTACATCGGCTTTTTCACTTACAGCAACATCACCTTCTATGAGATCAAAGTTGGGCCAGATGGTGTTCTGATCATGCAACAGTTTGGGCCTCAGATTGAAGAGCTGGTCCCAGAGAAATACAGAACCATTAAGCTCAACTATCTGGTCAACCGGGTGTTCAAAGTAGTGTTTGAAAAAGAGTACCCTTGTGTCTTGCAAGTTGGCACAGCGTCAGTGTCCCTGGAAGCCCAAGATGGGCAATTATTTAACTTCTACACATTTGACAAGAAGGGGTTATCTCCTGGTTTTGACGCACCAGGTCTGAACACGTATAACGTGGTGAGAATACCCCATAGGCCAGCCTTCTCAAGCTGAACTGCTGCAATGCTGTGGAGTAAAGACAAATGGTGTCTTTGGGAATGGTGAGGGACTTTAAACAGACTGAGGCTAAGAAAATGAAAAGACCAAATTGAAAAGATGGGGCTCATTCTGGAGGTCAGATTAATTTCCAGAGAGCACAGAGAGGAACAGTGTGTTCAGCTTTTTAATGTCCTGCACTGAAACTGAATTCTTTCTTCTTCTGAGTGATGAGCTTTACTGTCCACAGGTCCTTCATTACACATCTAACCTGAACATTCATATTGTCATAATACAGCTCATTGTGTTCTTCCTACCTTCTTTTAAATTACCCTCTCACTGTACTGAGCTGCAGTGTGTTTGGACTACCTGCTGAAGTGACTCAAATCCCATATTTTATTACCCTGACTCAGGTCTGATTTTTTTTTCATGGATGTGTGAACAAACCAAATCCAAAATTTTCAGATCTGTGCCACTTGCATATGTAGTCCTAAGCTTGATTCATATTTGATCTCTGACCATGCGGCATCGTTCAGAGCCAAACTCTTGTTTTCGTTTGTTTGTTTGTTTGTTTTCCTCACATCTCACGGCTCTGTGCATATGCACATCATCTGTCATTATCGTTCAGTGTCAGGTTTCACACACCAGTAAAAACAAACATGGAGGAGAGCTGCAACGGTGATGGGGGTCAGTGGAGAGATGAGAATGCTTCACATTTGTTGAAAATTTATGGAGAAGCTTCTGATCACACCAAAGTGGAGAGAGCATGTCATTACCAAGCACTTTGTGAGGAGATTATATATGCGACAGTCAAATCGTACAAAGTTAATGTTGAAGCTCACATTCAGTTGAATCAAGACGTGTGGCAGGTTAGCAGTGCAGCAGCGTTCAGAATTTCACTTATAAACATGAACGTGAACCATGAAGAGAAAAAGATGAGAACTGTAATGTGAACATAGAGAAAGTATATATCTTCTATTAGAAGGCAAAAGGACTTAATTTGTGCCACCGTATGTGTGGCAAGTAAAATCAGGACATTTCATGGTGAGTATCCATTACTTTTATTCCAGTAGTGATGACACCATTGATATCAACCAGCTCATTTAATGTCAACAATCATGTACTTAGTCACGAAGATGTAAAATGCGTTGGCTTCCCAGTAAGAAGCTATTAAATATACTTCAATTTGTCCCAACTTCTAACACCAATATAATTAATACACTGCCCTGACTGCTGCAGGAAAATGATAGATTCAGGTGTACAAAAATAACCATCAAAAGGCAAAGGAGGGTGTTTGGCTGTCTGGGGATATGTTGGAAATGCAGCTGATATTGAAAACGTTGTTTAGTCTTGAAAAATGAGGTACAGCGAGTGGCGCTGAGGGGATCTAAATGCAATGCTGCCAAGAAATAAATCTACTTTATCTGGCTGTGGAAGAAATGTTGCAAAAGGCTCAAACGTGCCATTCAGTGTTGTCACAGCTCACAGGTGAAAGCTCATTCTGATGAATGATGGGAATGGAAAAAAAGTCACTCGGGTCATGCAGCATTGTCCAGGAACAAAACTGTAGCAAAATGCAAATGATACCATGTGCTGATTCACTGCTATTATTGAGGCTTGTTATTGTGGATCAGATGTCACATGAGGCCTGGGCAGCAATCGCACAATGCAATCAGGATGATGAATAACATTTTTCAGCACTGTGATACATTCATATTTCAATGACCGAAATAACACAGTAACCAGGCATTAACAAAGGTCAAAAGATAACTATATGTGGACACCTTAGACATTTATTTGTGCTGTTTCTGAGTCAGGCATTGAACAACAGCCATTATCATTTTTTATCTTTGCAGTCACACGGAACAAGAGCATGCCAGTCAGAGAAATCACATGCAGTACATAATGGCCAGCCATGCAACGAGATTAGGAAAAGCTCACAGGAAAGCATTATGTTCTCTGTTTACAAGTTCCACTGAGACACTGAAAGTTCTTTATCCTGTTTTTTTTATGACCAGAAACACACAGGTTTTTTTTTTTCTTCAAAAAAGAACATGAAGAATCAAGTACATTTTATCTGATCAGATTTTCCACTTAGCTCACCCAGCGGTGAGACAGCGGGTGGAATACGCAGGCACCGTTGAACAATATCATCCACTGTAGCAAATCAAAGTGTACAAACAAGCAATTTAATGACATGTTAGGAACAAGGATGTTCATCACTTTCTTGTCAAGAAAGCAGTGCTGCCTCACAGCAAGAAGGTTCCGGGTTCGAGCCTCGGTCGATCCGGGGCCTTTCTGTGCGGAGTTTGCATGTTCTCCCCTGTGTCTGAGGGGGTTTTCTCTGGTTACTCCGCCTTCCTCCCAGGTTGACTGGTGACTCTAAATTGCTCATAGGAGTGATTGTGTGTGTGTGTGGTTGTCTACATGTCAGCCCTGTGATAGACCGGCAAGTCCAGGGTGGACCCCGCCTCTCGCCAAGTGTCAGCTGGGATTGGTTCCAGCCCCGCTGAGACCTTATTCAGGAATAAGCGCTACAGATAATGGATGGAAGGATGAGATGATACCACTCTCATGTCTTCACAATACATGTGAAGCTGGAGCCAGCAGATTGTTACCTTGGTACAAAGACTGGAAACGACTAGTCTGCTCTGTCCAAATGTAAAAGAAAAAAATCCACCCAAAAAAGCATTTTTGAAGTTGACTTATTAAGTGCTTCATATAATGCGTAGAGCAGTTACAGTATAAATCAAAAGTCAGATTCATCTTTTGACAGTCCCATGGCTATGGGACTGTGGATGAGAGCCCCAGCTTTGGTGTCACAGTCCTGCACTTTGTACACCTGTCACCCATCCCAGCTACCTCATGATGATTTTGCTACCAATAATATTATTTTTCTTGTTTCCTACAAAAGCACACCGAGAGCCACTGTACCACAATCAAATTCCTTGTGTGGTCAACATACCTGGCCAACAAAGCTGATTCTGTTTTTGATTCTAAATGTACTTCAGATTTCATCACATTTGGACGGAGCCAAGCCAACAGTTTCCCCCTTTCTGCTGTTTGTGCTAAGCTAAGCTATGCTTCTCCTGGCAGCAGCCTCATATTTACCACTCAGACAAAAGAGCTGAAATGATTTTCTAACTGTCTTCAAGAAAGTGAATAAACATATTGGTGGTTCTGCATCAGCTGCTTGTATGAACATTCAAGTCAAATCTCAGAACACAGAGGTCTTGCAGGTCGTTTCTGTACAAGCACATGTGAGGATCGCAGTGTCCACGCTCAGTGTCACGGTAGGAGACAACAAAGGGATAAAAGCACTAGAATCCTTACCCTCGGCCTGAGCTCTGCAACTTGAGACAGAGGGATCCAGTGAAATGTTGGGGAAGGGTGGTGAGTCTCTGACGGAGCTGTGGTCCTCCACCTGGGAGCACATGATTCCTCGGAAACACTCCCTGAACCGAGTGGAGAGCAGGCTGTAGATGATGGGATTGACTGCAGAGCTGAGGTAGAAGAAGACGCCTGACAGGATGTGGACGTACTCATAAATGCTGTGCATCAAATCGGTCCACTGGCTGATGGAACTCCACAGGAGCCGCTCAGTGTGGAAGGGTGCCCAGCAGAATCCAAACGCAGCCACCACAATCGCTAGAGGATCAGACCAGAGAGAAAGTAAGGCTGTTTAAAATGAGGTTTATCTGTTACACATTCAGAATGTTTTCTTACTCTTCGTTTCCTTGTTGTTTGTGTGTATTTTGATGCAAGTTTACATTTTGTTCTGTAAATTCCTCTTTCCTACAACATTAAACATCTCACGACCCAGCAGCTTCATCTTGTCACTGGCTTGATCTCCAGACTGGAAACCATTAAAATCACATACCTCACTTTATATAAAGTAATACTCAGACTGGCTGTTTAATTTGATGTCTTCAAGAGAATCTTCAAAAATCGATTCACTGTCCCATTATTCTGTAATTATTCATCTTGCCAGGGAAAGCTAGACTTTTTTGTTTACTTCAACAGCCACAATCCACCATCCAGAAAAGACAAACCTAAAAGATATGCCCTGAAAACTGCCAAAGAACTAAAGTGGAAGGTTGAGTCATGCACAAGATAAAAAGGTGGGTGTTCCATTAAATTTCTGTCATAAAAGATAAACCTGAAGACAAAGGAATGAAAAACTTTATGAATTTATGGTTATTTCACTCACTCTTACTTGTACAGGTGAGCAGCAGAAGATGCCCGGCATCATTTGGTAATGGAGCACTTTTACTTTCCTCTCTAAATAATGCATGTGCAATGCTCCCATGTGGTTCCTACTGAGAGAGGTGCATCAGGAACAAGCTGTTTGGCATCTACAGTATAATGGTGGACATATGAGCCCATTAGCTTTGTTGGAAACCTGGTGGCAGTCCTCATGCTGACAAGATATTTATAAATGTGACAGTGGCAAGCATCTCAAACTTATTTTTTCCCCAACAACAAAGTTTGTGAGCTTTGGCTCTTTGACCCCTTTACAAACCCCCTTTTTTTCACGCTTCGCTTTAAATAAAGCTAAAATATTTCTTAAAAACCATCATACACTATTCAACACTGTTTGTTCACTGTATATTCTGTATCATGTTGTTCCACCTCTTCACTGCAGTTATGTTACATGACATTGTGTTTTGTGACTGCATCACAAAAATATAAATATTTTAAGATATTTGAAAATTTGTACCCACATATCAATTGTGTAAAACTAGGAAACACTGCTGTTTGTCTGTCATTGGATTATTATATTGTTAAATTCACATTTTTGCACAAAATAATACCTGCTGTTGCGTTTTTCCCAACAGACTCCTAACTCACCTCAAACTAATGAGATGAGCACCCCTGAAACATGAATAATACAATAATTGCTCACATGACAGTACAGTAATGATCTAACTTTGGCAGATAATGCAGGGTTCACGTGAGATTCAATCATTAAAGTAAGCTGCTTGAGAACCTCGGGCCTTTAAGCTGGCTCCTAATGGACTAACTGTTAATTTGTTATATGGTGAGGAAATGTTTTCAAATGACAAATTTAAAATAAATCCCTTTGTAACAAACAAACCAATTATCTACAGAAACTAGAGGGAGCTTACACTCTGGTAGATGAACTGTACTAATGGTTCCTGAGCACAGTAAGACAACTCACAGAGCATCTTGATGACCTGTCTCCTGCGCCTGTTCTCCTTGCTGATCGTCCTTCGAGTGTTGCTGCTGCAGTTCTTCCCCAGGTTCCTGCTGCTCTGCTGCCTTTCTCTACCCAAATGAAGGCCCATTACCAGGTAGAGCACACTTATCACCATCATGGGTACAAAATAGAAGCACACAGTGGTGACCTGCATGAGCATGTTATAGATCCACATGGGCTGCAGCACAGTGCATATGGCTGACTCCTCCATTCTCTCAGGCAGGTAGAAGATGCCATGCAGTGAGGTGTTGGGGATGGCACAAATCATCGACACCACCCACACGACGGTGATGACCTTTTTGGCATGCTGGTTAGTTGACAGGTATCGTGTTTTGAGAGGGTGCACCACAGCTATGTACCTCTCCACGCTCAGAGCTGTAACATTGAGGATGGAGGCGAAGCAGACTGTCTCAAAGAGGAAGATCTTGAAGTAGCAGCCTCCCTCACCGAAGGGAAACGGGTAGTTCTGCCACAGGTCGTAAATCTCCAATGGCATCCCAAACAAAAGCACAAGGAGGTCTGATGCAGCCAGGCTTACCAGGTAAAGGTTGGTGGGGTTACGCATCTTCTTGTGCTTCGCTATCACTGCACATGTGAGCAGGTTTCCAGATAAGCCAATGAGAAAGATGAGAAGGTAAACGCTGGTCACTGGGAGGAAGAAGGGAGATCGTTTTGGACCCAGGATTTCAGAGAGGTCGACTTCAGTGAATTGGTCACTGGTGTAATTCCCAGTTGCATTTAGTGGCATGCTTGTATTGAGGACCAGTTTAGATATGTTTGAAGACCCCTGCAGAGAAAGCTCCATTTCATAGAGGAGAGCAGGTGGAACAGTAAGCGATGTCAGAACATCTTGTGCTGATTCCAGGGTCCATTCAACAGTGGGGACCTGCGAAAATTAAACAAATGAAACAAGAAGTGCTATCAGAAGCCCAGTGGAGATGTCTATTGGGGTCAACAATTACACCCCACCATCACCAGACAAGCACTGTAACATGCTGATTATTTTATTGATTGTCCATAAAAAAAAATCAAAAACATCAGTCCAAACCCACAGGTATTCAGTTTAAAATCATAGGAAAGCAGAGAACTTTCATTTTTGAGAAGCTAAAGTAAGAGAGGTTTTGGCATTTTTCCTTGAAACAATGCCTCAGTTATCAAAATAGTTGTCTGTCCATGTAATAACCCATTAACCATCTAATATTTCAGCTCTATGTGCTACCAGTTAGATGACACAAGACAGTTGGCAGCCTACAGGTCTAAAATAGCAAGAAGTATTTAATTTTTGGGGACATAAGCACCGCTGGGCAGTATAGAAGCCAAAACCATACAGTATTAACATATATAACACTGGACCACCTGGTGCAGACATTCATTCTTCAGAATAATCCAAATACACTCTGAAGGTGTCCACAGATGTATTCATCCGTAGACAGCTTTTGATATATCACTTGTCTAAAACAATAGGTAGGCTGCAGCACACAGCGAGACTCCAGCTCCATAAACTATAGCAACAAATAAATTAACCCCAATTCAGAACAGCACTGCCTCTCACTGACAAGAGACATTTTCTGTTGGTCATGGATGGTAGATTCCCCCTGTGGCGTGAAGAATACTGATTTTACTGCCATGCCAATGTTGTTCAGAACATTTTCATCAGGTGGTAATTTTTGCGTATAATCGGCGTTACGCACGCAGCGCTATGCGCCACTGACTTTGACTATTGATTGTGTTGCCACATCTCATGCGTCATCCTATAAATCAAAGGAGCTGCACTATTGGGATTACCTTAAAAGACTGTTCAACATAATGTTTGTCTAACATTTCTAACTGGAGTCGTGACCTGGCTGTGTGTGATCTACTGGCATTTCTGTGTCTTTAAACAATGTTCTTCAGATATGGCTTTTTATGTTGGGCAATTGATATGTAACATAATTGTGCCAAATAAGCGCTAGTGAAAAAGAAAATAAAGATGTCAGTGAATATTTAAATAGAATATTCAGACTTGATAAAACACCAGAAGCCTGTAACATAACTTTTGTTTACAATAGAAATAAATCCTCACCTTGACGGTGCCGATCTGCACGCCGCTTCTTATAACGCGCTCTCCGTGTGTTCATGGTTGGAAATAAGGAAACAAACAAGCAAATTAATCCAATTAAAAGCGAAAGAAAAAGTTAGAGGATGCGCTTTTAGTCGCTACCGAGGAGATGGGAGATGCGGAGGGAATCTGCGCCGTTGCCACGTCCCTTTCAGACAAATTAAACTGATAAAGAAGAGGAGTGGGAGAGTCAGAGGGAGGGGGGGAGAAAGGGGAAGACAGAACAAGAGCTCATGTATGTCCCTCGTGTATTTAGCCTGTATGATTTGAACGGATTGAAATGGAGAGGGTGTGCGTTTTCATTTAGCTTTTCATGTGTTTCTGCGTTTGATCCTGAACCAAAATGCACGTTCTTGCTACAGCTCCTGGGTGAAGTGTTGAACCACTGTTTCTCCCACTCTTTGTACATTTATATTCTGATACCGTACTACTCATGTGCTGGGTGGTATTTTAATTAAATAATCAAACAACATCTCATCACAAAACTGAAATAATTAAAGTTTTGAAGCTAAAATTTGACAAAGGCACCCTCTTCAATGACCTCACAGCTCTTTAAGGATATGTTTATTGCATCTCAGATCTGTCCAAACAATAGCCAGGTGCACATAGGAGCACCAAAACAGATTTAGCATACTGTAATCATTTGTTAATTTGCTTAATTAGCTTGTTTTCTTGTGTTTCCAGTTTAAGTAATGGGTGCAATGCTACATGAGCGCCCCTGGTACTGTGCTATACTGAGAGGTGTTCTGTTAAATCAGTGAGGGTGGACTAAACAGAAACACCTCTGTTTACATTGTCAGTATCAAAATTATCACCTTTCATAGTTGCTGTAAAAACTGTTTAGTCTCCACTCTCTTGAAAAACTTTCAAGTCATTTATGAAGGATGGAGAAACAAACAAGTGTTCACAAAAAGGTTATGACAATAATTTTTAAACGCTAAATGTTTGTGTGTATGTATGAGATGTAAAATGTCAAACAGTCGCCCATTAGTGCCAGGTGTACTGCTGTTTCCCTAAAGTAGACACAGCACATCAAATCCCATACTTAGTAGATATTAAAACTATTAGTGCTGTGCTTCTGAATATTCACATTACTTACAGTCTCACTGCACTGATGGTGGGGCCACAGGGTGTTGCCAAGAAGCATACCCCCCAGTGAATTACCATTTGAATACATCAGACTTTTGATTTTTGGTCCCTCATTAAGACTTTGTGTACTGTTCCTTTTTGTTTTTGATTTTAGAGCTCAGGGCTCTGTGTAGTGGATCATTAAGATCTCTGTTGGTAACTGCTGGAACAAACTGAGACACCGCACTCCACCTCTACCATAGAAACAGCACCTCTGTCACCCTTGTTTGAGTAGAAAACTGGTGGCTTTAGATATTTGTCAGTTTGCAGTTTTCAGGAATCTGGTCAAAGTAACCTTGTCAGTGCCCCTGGCAGGTTTCACAGTGGCCTCAGGCCTAGTGGTGGGACTGGACACCTTAAGGATGTGGCCTTCACAGGAACCTGTTGAGAGGAAACTGCGAGACAATATGCAGTGATTATATAAAAAGCAATACATTGTTATAGAATAAATTAATAATAATACATTTAAAGAGTTCAGATTAGATCAGCTCCAACCATGTGAGACATCAATGTTTGTGAATAATCAGTAATGATAACACAATATAACTGTACTGTATGAAATATTGTATCACTGCACACTGGGGACTAACAGGTGTTTTCAAATACTCTGAATAATGAGTCTATAGTAGTAATGATGATGTAAACTGTCTTCCCAAGCAGGTGTGTAACATTACCATAGGAGTGAAGGCGCTCCCACACAGTCCTGAGAGGAGGTCGAACTGATGTGAATGCTTCTTCCATTTGACTCTTAACGTACTTCCATTTCTGCTCTTCTTGTACTTCTTGTACTCTTCAGAGAAGGGAGTATGTTTCTTGTATCAAATAAAGTTTGGTGACAAGCTAAATTAAAAAACAACATAAACTGCTGCCATGAGTGTCCAGAACATATGAACCATCATGTAGATGTATCTGTATTTGTGACCTGCAGCTTTTTCCCTTGAATTTATCACCTGTCTGTCTATGACCCTCCACAAACCCACAGTCATATGATATGGCACACATTTGATTCAATGACGCTGAGCCCCCGGCTGATACAGCTTTGGGGGTCTTTTGTTCTTTTTTGATAGCAAAGATTACTTGCACAATCCATCCATGCATAATACATTGGACTGTTGTGTTCGTAGTTTGGAATAAAACTTGACCACCATCGCCCCATTAAACAGAGTGGGCACTAATCTGCTCTGTCAACATTTTTGGTGTCCATTTTAAATTTAAGCCTAATTGCTGCATTTCGGTGTTTTTAATTATTCTGCAACATTAAACTGTGATGAGTGGATGACAAATAAATCCATTCTCTCCAGTTCTGATTCTTCTTAGTAGGTAGGTTTTCCCAGTTTGTGTGATGAATAAAGCCTTTCTTATACAGTCCTATAAAGTAAACACTGTAAAAATTCTCTATTATGCCTCTTTTAAGTCAATACCACTGCATGCAGCTTTTATTAAGTGCTTAAATCATTGTTAGAAGACATTAAGCTTGGTAAAAACTTAATACAGCTTTAAATAGTTTATTTTTCCTTTCAATAAATAAATGGCAATTAGGAGTTCTGGGAACCTACATAATAGAGAGGAACATTTGTGCAGCCTGAATTTCTGCCATTTGTTAGATGATCCATAAAATGCCACCTGGAAATACTGTGTGTATGGGACTTTGAAGAAACACCAAGTACAGTTAGTGCATTTAACAGAGATGCTCTTCTACAAATCAAATTACAATCCTGCTCATATTTTACCAGGAGGTCGACAGTGTTAGCGATCAGATCACCTCAGTTCTTAGCTGCCTACATGCATGGACCCAGTCTGTGTGCTGAAATAACAGGTTTTAACCTGCTTTTCTAAAACAAACTATAGTTTCAATTGAATAGTACCCAAGAGTCTGAAGAACAGTTCTTATGAAAAATGCAAGAGAAGAGGCTAGTTAAAATAGAATACAGGGACTGCAACAAACAATGTAGAAAGAGAGGAGCCTACAGGGAAGGTAATGACTTTATTTTGACGAAATGGACCATAGCAAACGGCAGAGGGGAATGGCATCTCCTTTCATTGCTTCGCAGATGATAACCAGGTTTATTTATTGGTTAAAAAGACAAATTCTTGTTTTAGGCCACTGCTTAACTGTTTTGAGGACATTAAATCTTGGCTTGCACTTAATTTTTTGAAGCTGAATGAAGAGAAGATGGTGGTGATGGTGTTCGGTGATACTGCTGGGTCTCCCTCCATTGATTTAGGCTTTTTAGCTCAGTATAACAAGAAAAATATTTCAAACCTGGGGGCTGACTTGAGTCCACCACACAACACCGTTTGTCATCCTTACACGGCAAACCTGACACCTAAAATTTGATTGCCAAGTTGTGGCTGTCATAAAATCTTTTTTTTTTTACCTAAGGCAGCTGGCCAAAGTAAAGTCAGTGTTTTCTAGACAGTACTTTGAGACACTTATTCATGCTTTTATCACCACCCGGCTGGATTACTGCAATGCATTGTATCTGGGGATTAACAAGTCTTCTATTACTCGCCTCCAGATGGTCCAAAATACTGCAGCACACCTTTTAACAGATATGAGTAAATATGAGCACATTTCTCCAGTTCTTTCTTTTTAGTGCTTCCTAAGTAAAGTTGAAATGGAACACAGAGGAGAGGTGACGTGAGAGTTAGAGCAGGTGTCTGTTTCATTGATCCAATCACATGTGTAATGAGACCAGCAGAACAATCCTGGAATGCCAACCTTTTAGAGTATACACCTGCCCTGTGGCTGCAGAGACCCACAATCCCCAGGTTCCTCTAAACTGTGACTTGGTTTTGTAATATGGGAATATGGACATTACACTACACTGTAGTGTAATATCAACTTAACAAAGGTCATAAAACTTCACTAAATGTTTTGGTCACTTGGGGCCAAGAGCCAAGCTCTGAATACCACGCCGACATACAGTATTGTCACCACTTACATTGTTCTGGCAGACTTGTTAGCAAACAGCCGCCACTTCACGAGGGAAGCAAAGATACCAAAAACTCACAGTACAGTACTGCCACAATAAAAAGTCCACAACACAATATTTATCACAATGTTTAAAAATCAAAATGCCCCAAATATAAAATCTGTGTGTTTTGCAAAAATTTTGGTATTTTGTATATAAAAGATAATGCAGCGTCAGTAGCATGGCTTTTAAGAGATAAAATAAAATAATATATTATTGCAGTAGCTGGAACTTATAAATAAAAGAAGTCACACTTGCAGTAGAACATCAGTGTACGGTATTTGTACCCCCTCAGCAGGTTTTGCCTAAATTTCTCTGCTTGGTGGCCGCGTCGAACGGTGGTTGGTTTCTCAGTAGGTTACTGGGCCAGCTGAAGTAGGTATCCCCCACTCCGACCACTGGGAACAGTACTGAGCACACCACAATGAGAAGAAGAAGACACCAAACCAGTATAAGCCACATAAAGGTGAGATTTGTGCTTTACTGAGATGATTAGTGGTCAGACTCTCCAAGTAATATAAAGGATGAATCCGCATGAACGTGCCATCTACCTCTTTTATAAAAAAAAAAAAAAACTGGGTAGGTAGTTTCAGGAAATGATGTGGCTTAAAATGTTTAAAATGACACAACACGTCACGTTGGATTCAAACGCCTCTTTTCTATAGGAAGGGCTGATGAGCCATCCACCCACCCCAACTTCCTCCCAATCAGGCCTGACTCATTCTATGTCACAACTTTGCTTTGTCTGCTTGTCTCATAATTATTGCAATCTCTCGAGGTCATCTAGCTGTCAATACTGAGGGATTCAGGAGGCACCTCCTCAGCTATATGGCCATAATAATACTGATAATAGCCATTAAATGTCAGGACACCACTCAAATCAACTGACAGTTTTCATCCTTTTATTTGAGAAGAAGCTGTCATCAGTACTTATACGCATTAATTATACAGGGCTGTTTGGCTTATTTGGCGAATTTTCATCCCACAGTTGCTTTTTATGTCAGCTGCTTGTAGCTGCCAATCATACAGGGAGAGGGACTAACATTCTTTGTCTTTAGCACAACTCATAATACCAAAACTGCAACACAAGTATGAACTAACAAAAACAAGGCAACTGTAGCTAAGATGACTGTTCAATAGAACATTTAAAAAAATCGTAATAATCTGAATGTTTGACACGTTCATGGCAAGACAAGAGGTAGAAGAAGTCACTGAAAGCCCTTGATAAAGCACTAAAACACCGTTATTGTTGTTTACCTGAAAATTAGAATCAAATATCACTTTAAAAGAAACAAAAAATAAACATCTGTATTTGTCAGCCACTTCGTTTACTCTCAGCTATATACCAATGGGTGTTTTTCAGTGTCATGAAAGAAAATGGAAAACAAATGTTACAAACTATTGACCACTGGTTTACAATATCTCGCACATTTCAGTTGTTTCAAAGCTAAAGTTTCAGCTCACATACAGAGGGAGTTGAGCAGCTGAGCAGGCAGATCTACTTCAGATATTAATACACAGTTGTTGTCCTTGAAACGTGAAGTTACCAGCAGAGGGCATAGGAAGTTCACGTTGTGCTGCTGACCGGGGGAGGTGTGTTATCTTCCCAGAGAACACTGTCGTGTACAGTATATGTGTGCATTAACATGACTGCTGTGTGTTATTCATAACCATTTTTATTTATTACAGTGCCCATCAGCTAGGCAGTTGTTGTATCCTACAATTCATCATAAAGCTACGATGAATATGAACATTTACTGCTTCTAATTATTCAGTGCAATGTTGTATAATCAGGATAATCTGGATGTTCAACACTGTCGTGGTGAGAGGAGGCGGAGGAAGTCATTAAAGCCTTTGATAAAGCACTGAATCACTGCTGTTGTTGTGTATAGGCAGCTGTAGTATCCAGCAGTTAATCATAATACAGAACACTATATCCAACACTGATCATAAAACAAAGCTAAGTGGAAAGCCTGACAGGTGTAGATTCCCTGGAAATATTCCCTGGACCCTGACGTCTATTTTTTGAAGATGCACAATTGTGACAAGGAGAAACCTGAATAAACGAGTGGTCTTTTCCAGGATGGCAGAGCCCCCATTGATAGGGCATGAGGGGGTCACTGAATGGTTCAAAGATGTGAATCGCATGCTGCAACCTTCACAGTCACCATATCTCAACTCTTATGAGAGATGTGTTAGACATGGTCTCCCCCACCATCTTTTGGTCCTCCAGTAGAGTTCAGAAACTTGGAAAGCCAAGGTGCACTGACGCTGTTCTGGTTGTTCCTGGTGGGCCAGCATCTTAATTTACCTGCACACCATCCACCACAAAATATAACAAACAAAATCACCCTGCACCATGATAAATGTGCAGCTGTTGTCAAACTGGATACTTCAGCCAGTGCAGATAGATAAAAAGTTGCATGACTTGATTAGATAAACAATGCTCTGATTGTTTGGTGCTGGGCATGTACTGGTACGACACTTTAAAATTCCCTTAACAGATAAGATAACACTGATGCCCACTTAAAAAGCAAGCTGTGAGATTTGCCACTTCTGCAGAAATCTAAGTCTCTAAAGTGAGAATGATAAGAAAAAACAATCAAAGTCTGGTGTCAGTGGTTTTATGAATATTGTTACAGGTGAAAAAGTAATGTGATTCCATTTTGTGTAACTGAAATTGATTTTGGCAATCCCAAACATTTGGCTTTAAGACCCCTAAAACCCCTTTAATTCGCCTTTGTATTATTCGAATACTTTTTAAAG